CCCCTGGCCCGCCCCGCTGGGCCCGCGGCCTGCGCGGACGGCGGGTTTGGAGTCTAAGCCTCCGTGGCAGAGTTTTTGCCTTCTCCCAGGATTACGTCTCTTTTTCCCTCTCTTTTGTTTTCCCTCCCTTTTTTTTCCTTTTTATTTCCCTTTCTTTCCTTTTTTTCCCCTTTTTTCTTTTTTTCCCCTTTCTCAGCTTGCCCATCCTAGCACCTTCTCGCACAGCCTTTAGCCAGCTGCCCTGACATCCCTGACATCCCCGGCCCTGCGGTGCTGGCAGAGGGGTGACTGCCCTTTGTGTTCTGTCAATCAGAAATGTACTCTGCATTTCTGCAGATTTTTTTTTTTTTTAAGGTAATACAGACTTTCGAGTATGGCCACTGCACAAAAAACAAACAAACAACAACAAAAAAACACACACAAAAAAAGGGATAAGGAAGCTCTTAGCCACATTTCTTCAAAAAATGAAGTAACCATGTTTGAGTCTATGGTGTCCACCTCTCTGCTAACCCTGGCTATTTATTGCTTTAATAAGCTGTCTGCACATGTGTTTTATCTCTGTATAGTGTTGCCACCTACCAGTGAATTGTGTAAATTACTCCCAGTTACACGAAGCTGAATTGCGGTGACTTGCTCCGGGCTTGTTGACAAGGCCATGTGGTCCTTCTCTGCAGTCTCCAGCTGGAGGGTATCAGATCCACAAAATGTGGATTTAAGAATCATGCTAGTTTCTCTTTAACCTCCTCTGCTTTTCTGCTCTTTTCTGTGCATCTGTCTTCCTTTCCACAGTGCTCTGCAGCATGTATTTTTCCACCGTAAAAAACTGTTTAGAGAGACTGTTTGTTTCCCAAAACACTGTCTGACTTCAATGCAGTCATGCAGCACCAAATGTCTGATCCTTTTAGGTACTCACCACAGTCTTACAACCTCTCTGCTTGCCAAATATGCACAAAACTATGCAAAAGCATTTTGCTTTAGTTGAGATATATGGAGAAAATTAATGCCATTTAATTTGTGAAAGCATTTAACCAAGGGTGCTTTTCCGTGCTACCTGTTGTAAGTCCTTTGCAGTATATATTGATGGTCTAATAGGAAAATAAAGTTCCACCCTCTAAATTTTACCAAATTGCCTTAAATGATTTTGCAACAGGTAGCTCTTAGTCTTGTATATAGTACATACATTTTTAATGGGAAATTATTATGAGGGCGTTACCATGGGAGAGAGCAAATGTGGAAACACTAACAGAGGTAAGGTTCTAAGTGCTGTAAAAGAAACAGTTCCAGAAACATTATTGTGGGAGAACTTGCCAAAGAAAAGACCAGGGCAGGCAGTGCCTGTGTGACGGATGGAGCTGTGCTGACTCGCTTCCAGGCACTTCCATCGTCACTCACTTTGGGTGCCAGGGTCAGCCGAGCTGTGCAGCTGCGAGTGATTTGGGCAGGAGCTTGCCAGGAGCTGCTGAACAGCCTGTAACGTGCGCAAGGACGGGAACACTCTCTGCACGTGCGAAACTCGCAGCATGCAGTCTCCTGGCTAGAGGGGCAGGCTGCCTTGTCTTAGAATAACAGATCGAAACAGCCCTGGGCCTTATCCAAAGTAGAGCCTCTTTAAAGGATCAAACGCTCCACAAGGAGAACAGTACATCCTCACTTTCCACCTGACTTGTAAGAGATTTCCTCGTTTTTGATGCTGGTTTCAGGTTTCTTTGACTTCATTCTCGAAGTTGACTGGAGGGAAATGTGCCCAAGAACAGTGTGAATTGGAAAACTTCAAAGTCTAGTAAACTACAGTAAGGTTGGATTAAGCATTTTTATTCTGAGGACTTATCTGTAGCACACCAGAGATCCTGCTGATGTCTGAAAACTGACAAAATGTTTTCTTGATGGTCCTGGAGGAGACTTGCATGGGTAGAGCTGGGATATTCCCATCATCTGCCAAGTTGTAAAGTTAGCAGTATTCAGCATATGGAAAATTGCATCATGTGTGCATCTGATACTTTTTATTTTAAACTTTTTAATTACTTCTTTCAGACACATAAAAATGGAAGTGCCAGTTAAGGAAGGTAGTTATTACATTTGTAATAGCTTTAAACAGTGAAAAAAATAGTGTTCCAGGTTAAAAAAAATATGCTGAACATGGAATTGTAAGGTTAGATGGCCTTATAAAACCTATACTGTAACATTTGGTTTAAAAACTATTTAGATTAGACTTGAATTTTATTGGCTGCATGAAGGTATATTTTTAGATTACATTTTTATTATACTTTTAAAGCATGGATATCACAGTTTTTCAGTAAAAGAGAAACTTTACAAAATACTTTCTGACTTCATCATGCTCTGCAGTGTGTTTTCTGGCCTGGATGCTAACCTTTGCCAGGAGGTCAGTTACACATCTGCATGATAAAAGGTATATTCCATTTGTGTTTAAAACCCCCAAAAAATTCATCTGAACTCAAACAATGTCATCAGTGTTCTATAGGATGACCCAGTCAGGCCTGGGATGGCAGGAGGATGCCTCTGGGAGGTGGCTCCCCTTGAGCCACCTCCCCCAGGAGCTGTAGGTGTGCAGCCCTGGCCGACCGGCTGCACGGCCTGCAAGAGCATTTGGGCTCGCTGAGCAGTTTGAGATACACCAAACCTAAGTATTACCTTGTTTCACCAATTCCTGTTTTTTAAAACAAAGATGGCAAAATGGCAGAGTGCATTAGCCTACCCTCCTGAAGGTGGGTCTGGTTTCACACAAATGGTGCCATACATATACTGACTTGGCAAAGTGAGACTTGTCATCTCAACCCTGTCCTACACTGTCTCCTGCAACAATATTTTGAAAATTTCAGGAAAATTAGGTATTTCCGCTTTCTGTAAATCCCCGGATTGCATTGCAGCACAAGCTCAGGTGTGTTGTTGTAGCACAGTGTATAATGCTGCTGAAAAATAAGTGCACCCATCTCATGATGCTGCTCATTGGGAACGGGGCTGTAGGGTGTGTGGCCCTGCCTGTGTGACTCAAACCAGCATCCCAACCAGCACTCCAGATTTGTCTGTGTGTATGCTGACCTCTGCTCTTTCAAAACAGTGAAGCTTTTGGGAGCTGAGGACAAATGAAAACATAACGCCAAATCTTTTCCTTTACGTGCTTCTTAAAGCTTCAGTCTATTTCTGTAACACTAATCTCATTGTCAAGGAGCAAGGCCAATGGAAAGTGATGGCGGGAGGGGGGGGGGAGTCTATAGCCCAAACTTTGCTAATAAAGTTGGTGAGAATTTTGCTATCACCTGCAATGAAATATGATGTCAGACATTTAATGACATAAGCTCTCACCCTGGAGATAACAAGTCTCTTTGCAGAGGCTTTCTTGAGAATGTTCTGTTCTTTTTCTACTTATATGATTCCTATGAGCATCACTGATGGCTGGATGTACAGAGGACTGTAACGTATGCAATAAACATCCAGGATGGAAGATGAGGGTTTTTTTCCATCTCAGTTACGTTATATGTTGCAATAGCTATGCTGATCTTTTCCAGTTCCCCACTGAGTAGTTGTTCTCACTGCATAATACTTAAATCTGTGTCTGTGTTTTCTGAAATGCCAGTCCTTGTTTCTTCTTTTTATAGAGAAGACTTGGATAGTAGGAAAGAACGTATGAAAAATGGTCCAGAGACTTTAGAGCTGAGTTTCATAAAGCCAAGAGGGCAGAATATGCTTTTGCATGGTAGTTCAAACCATGCATCAGACTTATTTGAGGGATGCCTTATTGAACCCTTGGTGTCTTTGACTAGCTGAAAAATCATATTCAGAAGAAGGACTAAGATGTTGAGCTATGGTTTTTTTTTTGTTTTGTAATACAAATTGCAAATTACACAGGTGGACTTTCCTGTATTTTTACAATGTCCTTTTTTAATTTACAGCTGTAGAGTCCTGGAGCTGTGTCTGTGAAATGGTTCATGTAAGCATCACAACAGGAGATCAGTGAAGAATGCCACTCTGCCGCTTACAATAGTGTTGTCTGAGCCTCTGTTCTTACCTTTCTTTCAGGCTGTCTCTGAGGCACAGGGGGCTGGTACAATTTGTACAAAAAAGCAGAGAGGTCCCAGCCATGGGTGGAAGCGATCTGTTTCTGCACTGTGCATCGTTAAATAATAGCAGTCATGCATGGTTTGTATGGTAGGGCACTATTTTCTAGATTAATATAATCACCACTGTTTCTGATATTTTTTGTGTAAGTGAAGATGTTTACTCAGACCCTTAGTCTGATTCTAATTCTGTTCCTTACAGACTGACTTTCTAGTCCCTGTTACAATTTCAATGGCATGTAAAATATGTGGGTGTTGGGTTTTGGGGTTTTTTTTGGGGGGGGGTTGGGTTGTTGTTTTGTTTTTCTTTTTTAAATTGCTTGAAGCTTGCTGAAGTCATATTGTTGCATTCTCTGACTTCAGGCTATGCCTGACTGCCGGTTGTGCTTCCCCCATACTTTCCAGTCATAAAGTTGAAAACATGCAAATCATAAGGAGCCATTTCTGGATCTAAATTTAGCACTACTGTGGATTAACACTAAGACCGGACCAATTACATGTTCAGTCTTTCTTCAATAGAAAATAAAATAGATCTCATTACAAATGGATCTTGTTACACTTAACAGCAAAATCCTGTCTGAGTAATGTATAAACTAGACAGAGCAATCTGAGAACTCATCATTCCCAGCTCTCAGCCACCTTGTTTTACATAAACACCCACATTAGTTTATAAAAGTTCTAAAAATAGAGCTGAAATTTATCAAAAAGTGGATAAGATGGAACTACATGTCTACTTGCAGTGTTGCTGTTATGTGAGTGTATACATGTCTGTTATAGTGACACTGAAAAAAAGAATGTGAATGTAGGCATTGAGCAGTTGATTGTGATTCCACCTCTACCCTCAGACATTTGGAAATGTTAGGTTTTAAAG